TCATCTTCAGGATTACATGTTTCTCCTTCTTGCTGCTGGGTATTTTAATTTCATGTTTCTCCTTCTTGTTTCAATGTTTAGGCTCCTACATCTTTTCAAGTGTATGTAAAAGATAAATGCTTTGTGATAGAAGACATTGATTTAGATATCTACTTCACCAAAGATTTATATTCTGATATCATCTCTAAAGCTAAGGAAAAAAATATAGAGCTGCCTAGGTTTGTTGGTTTGAAATATCATCCACCCTCCAAAGAAGTTCAGGGAGAACATTTAGTTAATGATTCAGACTGGATTAAAATGGTTGAGGAATAGGGGAGTGTGTCTTCCAGTTACATTCCTATATATGTTGTTGAACTGTTGGAGCCCAGTGCATTGCAAATGATGGCAGTGGCTGTTGATTCTAGTTTCCAGAATGGTCATGAGTCGACTATAACTTCAATTGAGCAATGGGCTGACAACTTGCTTGTAACTCCTGGTTGTCCAAGTAAAAGCAGTAGGAATCTAGAATTTAAACTAGGGTCATTTAATAAATCCAAGTTACCTGTTAGAAAGCAACCAAGAAGGCCAGATGATGAAGTAAGCCCCTTAGGTTTCAGAGATGTTGATCTAATACCACCAAACACTGAAGAAGAAAGAGATGTTGTTGACAGTGTTAGGACACCTAAGAAGAGAAAGAAAAACTCTATAGGATGTGGAAGAAAAGAATTTGAAATAACTGAATTGAATGTGAAACTGTTTGCAAAGGAATTGAAAGGTCTAGAAGCATATGATATTCCTAGTCTGTGCAAGCCCCAGATTACTCCCCTAGATCTGTTCTTTGAAGAAGTAATGCCTCCCAATGAAACTGATGGTGCTGAGGAAGAGGACTGCAGTGAAGATGATGATGAAGGAAGCCAGTTTGATGGTGATGAGGAAGAGTGCTCAAGTAGTGTGGATGTGTCTCTAGATGAAGAGTCACATACAGATGAGGAATTGGATGTTGATGCTGATACTAATAATAGAATGAAGTTGGGTCATGTGGAAGAGGATGAAGATGGGAGTGGAAGTCAGTTGATTGTGGATAAAATGGCAATGGTTTTCAATACTGGCAGGTTGTGGATTAGAAGTACAAATGAAAAAGTAGAGCTGAGGGAGGGTGACATATTCAGCTCAAAAAAAGATTTTCTAAGGGTGATGAGGGATTACATTATCCAGAAAGGAATTTCTCTAAGAAAGATTAAGAATGATAAAAGAAAATACACTCAAACATGTGCCAATGAGAAGTGCAAATTCAGGATTCATGCTTCTGTTCTTGTTGATGGTCATTCATGGATGATTAAAACCCTAATTGATGGCCATGTTTGTTCAGTTAAAGAGCACCACAAAAGGGCAGGAGCATCTTGGGTTGCAACCCATTTGCTTGAAGACTTTAGAAGCAATAGGGAAATGAATTCTGCCACTGTGAAAAAGTTAATATTAAAAAGGTTCAATACTTTCATTCCAAATTATACTTGTTGGAGAGGCCTAAAATTGATGAGGCAAATTGTGGAAGGGAGGCATGAGGATGGCTACAAGCTTTTACCCCAATACATGGAGGTGTTTAAAGGTAGAAATCCAGATTCTGAGTGCTTCATAAGATGGGAGGAGATAGGGCCAGGCAGGAACCCCATGAGGATGGCTACAAGCTTTGATTGGTATTGATGCATGTCATTTGAAGGGCCCATACCAAGGAATTCTTTTGACAGCAATGAGTTTAGATGGAAATAATGGACAGTTTCCCTTGGCTTATGGTGTAGCTGATACTGAGGATGAAACAGAGTGGGGTTTTTTCCTTCATGGGTTAGCAGAGGGGCTAGGGTGCAGTCAAGATGCATCTAGGTACACTATAATTTCTGATAGGCACCAGGTACTTCCATGCTTACATTTATTATAGTGCTCTGATTGTACTTGTATTCTTTATTAAAGTCCACTCCAGGTACTTATTTTTCTTAAAAATCTGTAATAGGCCATAATAAAAGGGCTTAGCACTGTTATGCCAAGAGCTTCAAGGAGGATATGTGTTTTACATTTCTATAAAAACTTTGCTTCTAAATTTCCAGGTACTATATTATTATATACTTCTAGTTCTTATTGATATATGTGCTTTAAAAGTAGTTGTTTATGTAATGTTTTGCACTTATGATTTTGTTAGGTGCATGGTTCCATTCATTTTTCTATATAGTTGCAAATACCTTCTCAGAGTATGTGTTCAAGAAAGGTATGGAAAAGATTAAGGAGGAAGACAGTGAAGCTTATGATTGGCTAGAGACAAATGAGCCAATGACCCATTGGGCAAGGCACAAATTTTCTGTAGCCTTGAAGGGTGATGATAACACAAACAATTTTGTGGAATCATTCAACAAGGCTATTGTAGCACACAGAGCAAAGCCTACCCTAAAGATGTTGGAGGAAATCAGAAAATTGGTAGGTTCAAGGTTTGAAAAAAGGTTTTCAATGGGAAGGAGTTGGTCCACTGAAGTCACCCCTTATGTAGACAAGAAACTTAGGGCCTTAGCAATGGATTCTAGGGTCTGTTCTGAAGTGATAGCAGCAGGCAGAGTTTGATGTTCTTGATGGGAACACCAATTTTACAGTCAGGTTGAGAGACCACAGTTGTGACTGCAACAGGTGGCAAGTTACTGGTCTTCCATGTAAGCATGCTGCAAGATGCATTCTTAGGATAAATGAAAAGCTGGAAGACTATTGTGCACCTTGGTTTTCTGTTCAGAAATACAAGAGACTGTATGATGCCATAATACACCCTATTCCAGATCCATGTATGTGGGAGACAAGCACACTGCCAGAACTAGACCCACCAAAAACCATGAAAAAGAAAGGTAGACCCAAGAAACACAAGAGAAGAGATGGCATTGATGATTTCATTGCAAAAAAGAGGGGGCAAGCTCATGGAACAAAGCGCTGCAGCAAGTGTAAACAGTTGGGCCACAATCACAGGACGTGTGGCCAAAGTAGAGATCCTGATGGGAAATTAATGAAGAAGTACAGCAGGAAGAAGAAGACAACTTGTGAGCCTGATAAAAATGTTTGAAGTAATGAAAATGAAGATAAAATATGTTTTTTGTATCTAATATGTTATGATGATGTAATATGTTTTTTTGTATCCAATATGTTATCAGTTGTGTAACTGGTACTTATACATGGGTGTACGGTGCTTTTTGTTTTTTGTTGCCCACTACATCCCAAACACAATATGTATGGTTTTTGACATGATTCAGTAATAGAAAGTTTCAGTGTGACATGAATCAGTAATGGTTTCCACTATGTTTTTGTTCACAGTAAGTTTCTGCTGTTTCTTGGATGGGTTTGGCATTTCTGGGTTGCAGTTTAGGCATGAATCAGTAGGGGCTGTTTCAGTAGGGGCTGGTTTTGGTATTTCTGGGTTGCAGTTTTGGTTGTTATGCCCAGTTTTTGGAATTACTGGGTTGGCATTTGTGGGTTATAGACGTAGTCGTAGCATAGACGTTAGTCGTAGCGTAGACGTAGTCGTAGCATAAACGTAGTCGTAGCGTAGACGTAGTCGTAGCATAGACGACTACGTCTACGATTAGTACAGAGCAAGGGCAAAGCATCATCCCAAACCATCATCACTTGACAACAATGACTTAAACACAACACAACAAGGGGATTCATTAAAGTTAAAGCAAAATACAATCTTCAAGTGCTCATTCAAATGATGACAGGTACATCATAATCAATTACGCTTTTACTAGACTACAACACATACAACTTAATCCACGAGAAACACTTGATACACATGTTTTGGCTTACATCATGAACACATACATTGCTATGTGAAGCAAAAATCCTAGACCTAGACCACATAAAAAGGGGGCGGCAGTTCTCTTCCTCTATGAGTGCTTCATGCGCATGGTTAGACTTTTAATCTCTTCATCTTTTTCCTTAATATTATCTAATAGCCCAGGAATTATTTTCTTCGCACGATCGCATAGCTCGGGCTCTGCCCATTCCCAGCTCTTGCATTTCTGGATACCATATTCAATAAAAGGTCACATTACCAACATGTTTAAGCAATGTACATGTCATGTTAAACATTATAAACAAGTACACTAACCTTTTGCTCACACATCCAAAATCTTCTTCCAGGATTTTTTTGTCCAAGAAGTAAAAATCACCATCCCTTTCCCACAGTTGCACATAGGCACCTCAAACCAATCCCCATGGTCAATAATTCTTCTTGAGTTGAAAGAGTAATGAACACCACTACTACTACCAAAAAAAATTCATATGTGAATGAATTCGTATGAAAGCAATCGGGCAAAATCAGAATACATGTTTGAAGTCATTGCTACAGAAAGAGTTCTTTACTTCACTTCTTGCACCTGAAATTTTCGTTAGAAAGCCATTGGGGAAAATCTAAATCTCATAATTTCAACTTAAACCACAAACACCAAGAACAAGATGATGGAAAAACAGATTTCATCACCAAGAACAATGAGAAAATCGAATACTTACCTATGAACATGAGGCGGAGATCAGGTGCGAAAACCCTACCCCCAATCCTGCGTTGCGTTTGTGTGTTCTGAGAACGAAGAAGGGAACTTAAGCTTTGCAGGGGTAAAAAAGGGATTTCACTATTTTGAGGGTGAAAAATTAACGGAGAGAGTAGGCTTAACGTGTATGTGGATGAAAAGTGCCTGATTGGTCATTAAATCCTAAATTTGGTACCCTGGCAATATATTTCTAAAAAAGTAGGACCTGGTAGTTTTTACAACAAAACCTAGGGTACCTACCAGCAGTTTTTTGCTATAAAATTGCATTTGGTTAAGAATAACAAAATTTTGTTTCAACCATTTCCAAACCGTTTTAAAATGTGACCATATTGTCCCGTATATATGTATATATCTATTTATTTATTTATATAATGATATAACACAAAAAATATCACAATTTTTATTTTTCCCAAAATGGATATAAAAAATATCCATATCCGAACATTCTAAAAAAATGGACTAGGACTGAAGCACCAAAAAATCCGGACCGTTCTAACCTGGTCCACTCCAATTTGTGGCTCATAGTTTAAATGAAGCTTTCAGTTTTGACTTTTGACGTATGTTATAACGTTTTTCATGTTTTCTTATTATTTTGACTTTTTAAAAGCATTCTAAGTAAATATATCATTTTTTTTCATTACTTTGCAAGTCAAAATGAGTTGCCCCCCCTTATGTATTTTATATTTTTATACTCCTCCGTTTAAAGGCATCACGATAACTTTTATTTGCAAGTGATTTTTTATTGTTTAATCATTTCTCTCTTTATTGTCTTTCTTGAAACCCTCTAACTTGAGTCTTTTAGCGCGTTTTGAAAATAATCAATAAAGCCACATTTTTAATAGAACATCTACGAAAATTCTCTTCATGAATCATCTCAGTCATTCTTTGTTTAGTTTGCTCATCGCTATAAACAAAGAGACCGCCTTTACCCTTGTTCAAAAAACGAGAATTTGTGTTTATTTCCCCTTTCCCTTTAGCTTAGCAAATTCCACAGGGTGCCTCGATTTGAGGTGCTTGCTCACCGAACCATAACCTCTAGGGGTCTCCATGTTTATCACTTCCTTAGAGTGTAAGCTAGTACCCCAAATAATACAATCTTTTTTAAAAATGATACTTAAATAAATCAGAAGTAAATTTTTACCTCCCTGGGACCTTCGGAGGTCTCGAGCTCATCTATGGTCCCCCCGGTATTGACGTTGCTCTCAGGATTTAAATCCTCTGTCTTTTCGTCGTCCTCCACGACCTCGTCGATTCAAACTGATACAAAGGAGTGAGAAATTATAAGGGCCACAGATTTGTTTCTTAAAGTGGAGAGTTGAACATTTTTTTGTAAAATCTTTTATGGGGGCAGAGAGAGTATTATTTAATCGTAAGTAACATTATATTAAGAACAATAATTATTTGATTATATGTAATATTAAATAATGTAATAAGGAGTATGATTTAATCTTATAGTATTTTTTATTTATTCCTGGATAAAATATTGTCATTATTTTCAACATTTGTCTAGTTTGATTCTTTTGATATGAATAAATCTGATTTGTATGAACATGATCTAATCTAAATGGATCCGATCTGATTATAATAAAATGAAGTAATAAGAAAAAAGTTGAATGGAACGTGATTTTTAAACGAACAAGAATGATATTAGTTCTCTAGTCATATCGTGGTCTAAAGTTTAACACTCAACAACAACAACAACAACAACCCAGTTGGATCCCACTACAGTAGGGTCTGGGGAGGGTGTGTGTACGCAGACCTTGCCCCTACTCGGAAGCATGGAGGTTGTTTCCAAGAGACCCCCGGCTCAACCTGCACAAAAAAATGATAGGGTACACAGTATAGCATGGGTAAAACACCAAGTACAATGAAAAGAAAGTTTAACACTCAAATTGAGCATATTAGTGTCATGATACGAACTTTAGTATATTCTTTAAGTTCTACTCAGTGTATTACAATGTAGTAGTTGTTAATACGACTCATTTTAATGAAACAAAATGAGTTAATGCCTCTGCCTTCGTTGAAATTGAATATGGATAAGTTTCCTTGTGATTTTGGTGAGTGGAGTTTTTGTCATTTAAATCACGAAGAAACTCCAAACTTCAATACTATAAATTTAGATTATAAGCACAACTTTTCATTTTTCTCCATCTCCACTACAATAGATGATGCAGTGTTCATGTTATGTTCACTAATTAAAGAATTATTTTTAATAATATTTAACTTAACTTCCCATGAAGAAAATTTACCACTTTAAAAGCCATTTAAATTGAATTCAAAACCATATGATAGAGCATATAGGATCTTGGACCTATAAGCCAAATACACTTATTATTTTAGGACTCGTGTGAGAAGGGAAGTGGGAGCTTAGCGCAAAAGTTAAGTAGGAGCCTGCATGGGATGAAAACCATGAGCTATTGGGACCCAAAAGTGAGACTCATCCGATGAGTTATGAGTAGAGATAGATCGTTGATGTGGCTAGGACAAAGAGATGGAGGGGTCCATGCATGAATCCATCACCCTTAATCCTGGACTGTAATTAAGATAGTTGTACTTTATATACAACCTCTCCTCACCCATGGAGGGGATTAAATTCTTGATTCTCAAAAGGCAATACATAGCTTTATCTTTTTTGATATACTCCATGTGATGGCGCAAACAGCCTGTGAATCAAGTCAAGAGAAACCTCATGTGGTGGTTACAGTGGAGTCCCTCAAGGAACCACCCAGTAAAGAGTTGAAACTATATTCAATGTATATGTTTGAGCTAGCAACACAGAGAAGGAAGGCCAAGTAGAGCCTCTAAATGACCCCCCACCAAAAAAAGTAACACATGTTCCCCATTTTGCAATATGCAAAGTGGTGGATTCAGTTTGCAGACCCGAAACATAATGGTAGGAATTCAACATTGTCACAAGGGTTGAGTGGTCTATTTAACATGGTTGGGGTATAGATTGTGAGTTTTTCCCACAAGTCTAGGAAGGCAGGAAGGACATGACAGCTTCACACTCATATTGTGGTTTTTCTGAACGTACCGATGGTCTATTTTGAATCTCATTATATTTCTATATACTCCGTAAATGAAAACGGCATGCGCAACAACAAACATATACTCCATATCATTTAACATATGCTTACATACAGAGAGCACAAAAATGATTCAAACCAACCAGTATCTCATCCGGTTATAGATATAAAGGTCACAACGGCACAATTAGCCAAATGTGATAACAACTCTATGCCCTTAGCAAGTTATTGTGTTCTTTCTGGTAGCTCTGGTTCTTCTTCATTTTCAGGGTCTTCTTGATCCTCTTTATGATCCTCCTCTTCCCCTTCCTTTTCTTCTTCCTCCTCATCCTCTTCCGGAGGAGGATCGGCTGGTAATGGAGGAGGCAGTGGAGTTTTCATAGGGGTGAATTGGGGGAAGATATCTGGTCTGCGACCCGTGTTTGGTCTCTCCCACTCCTGCCATTGTTAAGTATATAATAAGCATTCATTACTTCTAAAGGAAGGACCAAACAGCATATTCACACTGGAAAGCCATTTTCTTCAAAGACTCAATTTCTTAATAAAACATTATTCAAACCAATCTGAACATGTAAATTTGTTAGTTTCAACTATTATGCTCAGAATGCAAAGCCACCAAAAGCTCATAGGTCACACAACACAGTGTTAATATAATCACTTGCAGACAAAGTCCAATTAAATCAATTTTCCAGCTTTTACATTATTACATCAGCCTCATTTTGGTACAAGATTGATACTGTTTATGAAACATGGCAGGGTGATACAAAAATTCAAGAACAAAAGAATTGTTTGGTTGATATTGATTTTGTAAAGCAAAATGATTTTTTTAAGGAGCAGTATTTCTTGTCTAGAAGGTGGATTCAGTTCAAATTACAGAGCAAACGAGAAAGACAATTGAAATTCATACTTTGAAATGTAAGACTGCAACTGATGACGCAGCGAATTTCAAAATTGTAAGAAAGATAAATGTGTAACATAGAAGAATAATTGAGAGACTGAAAACAAAGAGCGATAATGGTAAAATAGGAATCTAAGCAGATGGATAAAGAGTTAACCGCGGGGAACTCGAGAGGAGAACGGCGAGTTAACTTCTCTTCTTCAGGAGCCATACGCACAACCTGTGACTTCCGACGGTCAGGCGAAACGGCGCTGTGTATCAGGCCTAGATGCTGCCGCCGCAGCAGCAGCATCGAATAAGCGTGGTTCTGAGGCGGTCGAGAGAAAACTCGGCGGCCGGATGAAGAAGAAGAATTCCATTCCGCCGCCGCCGTGGGAATTGAGGTCGGGGAGAGCCAGAGCAGCGCCATCAGCGCCATCGCCGCCGAGTTCAGGTCTTTTCTTTCTGCCCTTCCTTCCACTCTCCTAATAATTCTCTCTGTTTTGGGCCCTCTTCGATAATGGGCCAATACTTCATTGGGCCTCAAACCAACACTGGACCCGTAAAATCTTACTGTATACAATGCTAGGATATGATTTTGAACAGTGTTCCCACCTAAAATTAATGGGCCGGGTCAGACGTGATGGGCTGGATACTTTGTTGGGCTTCTATTTCGAGTTTGCTGGAATTAATTAAGACTATTATTTAGGCCGGCGATAGGGCTGTTAAAGAGTGGGTAGTATTGGGCAACACGTGCATGGGTTTGGTGGTGGGCTACTTTTTCGGTTTTGATGATAATGATAAAAATAACTTTTTTGGGCAACGTGTGCACGTTAAGTTAACGCCTTTCACTACTTTTTAGGAGGCTAATTTACTTTGGCTCATTAAATTCTTTAGATTGAACAAATATTATAGTACTTGACCATTTAATGCAATAAGTTCTGATCTGGAAATGGGTGCGTG